CCAAAAATTGGATTTGTACATGTTTATATTTTAATACATTATATATATATATATATATATATGTATTATATAATATATATATATATATAATGTATTTTTTGTGTATTTTTATGATATATATATATATATATAAAAACACTGATGCATCTGTTCTGAAAATCATGTAGACTAGTGTTATTAAAAGTTAAAATTATTACTACTTTTTTTTGTCTTCAAATAACACTAAATTTAACAGTTCAACAAACAAAATTATCAATTGTTCAAATTAAGCCTATGTTGATATTTACTGGCAATATTGTTCATGTTCAGCATATGTAAAGGTGAAAATGAGGAAGCAGCAATACTTCTTCATATATCACATGGCACATAATTTCAAGATATTTCTAGTTTGGATAATTAAATTGTTTGCTGAACAGAACTTTCATTTTAAATTTCAAATTTTTAATTAAAATATATCACTTTAAACCACTCTTAGGACAAAACTAGAGATAAGTACATAAAATTTTGTAAGCATTGTTATCTTGACATAGAAAAACCATGGATATTTTCAAAAATAGTTACAATTTTCACTGCTAGAAGTGTATAATGACACCACAGTCACAACAGCATAAAAAAAAAACTGTTCAATATGCTTTCTGTCACTCTTAATCACATAATTCAATCAAGTTATCGCATTAACAACTAAGCGCAGCATGTCAAGATTAACGAGACTCTTTTCTCTTTCAATTTACCTCTTTAGATCCTGCTTTTTCAAATATCCCATAACCAGAAATCTGATAACAAGGTGTGAATTGAATGAATGAGCAAACACTGCATTAGAAAAGATTGACAGATCATTCTTTCATCACCAAATGTATTAGACAGTACATCGCTAACAATGACTACAGTGTGAGTGCATAATCTTGCTTAAACATAGCATCATTCAAACATCTCTGCTGTAGTTTAGAAATGACAAAAGTTTGCAGCATGTTTTAAACATTCCTATTATTTTAAAACTAATAAATTCCAAAACATTTTTCTTTAAAAAATCTTTTAAGAAATACAAGTGAAATTCACTTTTTTAAATCCAATTTCGATAGAATTAAAAACAGAGATGGACTAGAAACTTATTTACTAGGAAAAAGGAAAAATAAATGTGAGAAATAGTAAATAAGTTTCTAGTCCATCTCTGTTTTTAATTCTATCGAAATTGGATTTAAAAGAGTGAATTTCACTTGTATTTCTTAAAAGATTTTTTAAAGAAAAATGTTTTGGAATTTATTAGTTTTAAAATAATAGGAATGTTTAAAACATGCTGCAAACTTTTGTCATTTCTAAACTACAGCAGAGATGTTTGAATGATGCTATGTTTAAGCAAGATTATGCACTCACACTGTAGTCATTGTTAGCGATGTACTGTCTAATACATTTGGTGATGAAAGAATGATCTGTCAATCTTTTCTAATGCAGTGTTTGCTCATTCATTCAATTCACACCTTGTTATCAGATTTCTGGTTATGGGATATTTGAAAAAGCAGGATCTAAAGAGGTAAATTGAAAGAGAAAAGAGTCTCGTTAATCTTGACATGCTGCGCTTAGTTGTTAATGCGATAACTTGATTGAATTATGTGATTAAGAGTGACAGAAAGCATATTGAACAGTTTTTTTTTTTTATGCTGCTGTGACTGTGGTGTCATTATACACTTTTAGCAGTGAAAATTGTAACTATTTTTGAAAATATCCATGGTTTTTCTATGTCAAGATAACAATGCTTACAAAATTTTATGTACTTATCTCTAGTTTTGTCCTAAGAGTGGTTTAAAGTGATATATTTTAATTAAAAATTTGAAATTTAAAATGAAAGTTCTGTTCAGCAAACAATTTAATTATCCAAACTAGAAATATCTTGAAATTATGTGCCATGTGATATATGAAGAAGTATTGCTGCTTCCTCATTTTCACCNACGCTCTACTGTATTTATATGTAGTAAATACTAAAATTTAATTACATCATCTAACATTGAAAATTTTCATTTAGGTGGACAGTATCAGCTACTGGGCCCTCCTTATTTCAATCAAATGATGAGTAATACCAGACCTCCCATGAGATTAATGCCTCCCATGCTTGTAAATCCAGCTTCAAACCCTGCTAATACACCTGGTAAATAATTTTTTCTTTATTGTAATGTTTATTTAATTTATTATTTTCCTATTGATCTATTTTGTTATGTAATAATAAATTTTCATGTAGCACAGAATGAATGAAATAAAGAAAAATTGATTTTAATGAAAAACAAATTAAATTGTTATAATAAGTTTATAAAGATCTTCAATAAAAGCAGACAATTATATATAGTATGTCTATAATATAGTATATAAATTTGATTTAAATATATCATATCTATTGTATTAATTGAACAAAATTTCTGATCAGCCTATTTTATGCTTTTCTTTTCTTCCACTTCAGAAGTCAAAAGAGGAAATTTTTGGTAGTTTTGAACTCCTCACAAAATTCTGAGCAATGCTTTTGCATAAAGTTCCAGGCTATACTAATTACAATAGATAGGAAAAAGCATATACTACCTTTAATGTATTCCCAGAAATGAAAATTTAGGAATGTTAAATCTGAGAAGTATGGAAACCACTGGATAAACTTCCACGGTCAATCTCAATCTTTTTATCTGGAAGTGTATAATCTTGCTGGAAGAAAATGCTTTTATGTTGGTTCTATCATTACAGTTGTGAGAAACAACCATGCAGATAAATGTGTTGCATCATTTATGGAAGTTAACAGATTTGCAAAAAAAATATTCAGTTTGTGAGTGTTGCCAGACCTGGACCTCACCCTGGTCTAAGAGAAAAATGTCAAATGGAAATGTTACATTGGTGTCAGATTAAAACACCTAAATAGAACCTCACAGTGGTATCTGGACATCATCCAGCAACCTTCACAAATTTACTTAGTTTATTGTGCAGCAAAATGTTTGTTGGTCAACAATTTTTTATTTTTTTTTTTGCTTTAATTTGCATATATCTTATTTTTATCTAGTATCTATTTTTTTATTTCATTACATTTAGAGGAAAAGTCTTGATAGGCATTTGATTTCTGTCTCTCTACAATAACATATCATAAAAATAAATAACACCCCTTAAAACAAAAACAAACAAAATAAATAAATAAAATAAAAACAGGTAACAAATCTTAAATGATATATACAGTGCTTTTTTACATTTCAATTTAAAATTGGAAGACTAAGATGTAAAAATTCATTAAAATTATTAAGATTTAGACAAGACAGTAGAAGAATAAGTAAATGAGAGAAGTTTTCTCAATGGAATTTGGAGTGAAAGCCAGTTTTGATAAATAAGACCATTAAAATATTTGTAATATATCAACCAATCAAAATATTTAATTTTCTCAAGGAAAGATGGGAATCTCAGGCAAATTCTAGCAATATTAGAATGTGCAGTGAAAGGCAAATTACACATTTTGTTAAATGCAAGATATATCTTATTAGTAGCAATCTTGTGTAAAAGGAAAGGTGCAGCCATTGATCAGATGGTCAATCCATGATCAATGCAAGATTGCAAATTAGCATAAAAAATGGTTTGCAATGCTCTTTTATTAAAGATGGGCTTACAAAATCTCCATAAAATACCATGTCCATATATGATATAATTTTCAAACAAGGTTAACAAATGTATAAGTAAATTTTGTTTTAGATTAAGAAATTAAAATAAATAATAATATCAGATTCATAAAATTTGAGGAAATAGCAGTCTATTCAGGAAGAGGAAATATATTTGTAAATATCATGTAATCATAGTAAAACATTATATTTGAAGAGATTAAATCTATATTCATCAAACTTGAAATATTCCATTTTCATTTTATCATCATTGAGATTTTTTTTAAACTGAGTGACATTGCTATTTTGTAGACAAAGCAATGTTCTGGGCAATTGGTGTATAATCATTCAATAAATTTAAAAGTAATATAAAGCAAAAGAAAGAAGACAGCAAACAATTTTAATTTAATTAATCTACTGAACAGGAAATTTTATGCTTGATGAAAAATTGTGATAACAGAGTTTAAAAAAAAAAACAAGTATTGGATATGCTAAATTTATTATAAAATGTCAAATTATGTTTATATATTAATTGATGATGGTTGTTAAGCTTAAATACTGATTTTCATTGAATGAAATATATTGTATTATACTGATGTATTTATATTTGTAATATTTTTCAGGAAATTTTAATAATAGCGGAATGCATTTACTTAATTCTCAAAGTCAAAGTTCGAGTTTATTTTCAAACAATCCATTATATTCTTCTCCGACAAATCTTAATTACAGTCCTGCGTCTTCTAACATTGGTTTCACAGGCAATCAGTTGGGTCTGGGCCTGGGACAGACACAGACAAACACGGGATTTGGAAATAATACATTTGGTACATCTAATATTGGTGGAATTGATACAGGTAACTTTACTTTTTGGCATATTTATTTTCAGAATAAAATAAATTATCATTTTTTTTTACATGAATGATAATGAAATTTACTTATAAGGAATTGGTGGTAATACGAATTCACCACTGTGTGACACATTTGACTGTTGGGATAATTCAGGAGTTCGAAGTGCGGCTGGCAATGGTTTTGGAACTAATTTAGAAAATCACTTTTCTCAGCAAGGGCCAAAAAATACTTTTGGTACAGTCGCTTTACCACAGAGGCTAGGTCCCATTGGTATGTTACCACCGAGTCAAACTCCTCCTCCTTCATCACTGAATGGTTCATGCAATAATTTAAATTTAGGTAATTTTTTGCTCTTAAATGTCATATCAGCACAAAGAATATTTAATTACTAAAGCTATAACATTTTTAGGATGCATGGTGTCAGCTGCTCCAGGTGCAGAGGCAAAATACTTAGTAAGAAATTCTCCTTTAACCAATGTGTTTGGTTCTTCACATTCTCTGTTTTTGAATAATAGTACTCTTCAAAGAAAGTAAGTTAGATATTTATGCATATTTAATACTTGATATGTTTGGCTTTGTTTAAATATAAAATAATTTGATCAGAAATAATAATTTTATTAGGTCTAATGTCACTGACAGCCTTTCTACTATGGAGAAAAGAAACAATTCTAGAATTCCAAGAGTTGAACCAATGTGGTAAAGTATATTTTTATACTTTCAATAGCAAAACATTAGTTACTAAAGTTATTGTTTACTTTACTTAGTAATGGATGTAGTTTGGAAAAACCAGGAGGTAGAAGTCGTCTGCTAGAAGATTTTCGCAACAATAGATACCCAAATTTACAGCTGCATGACTTGGGTAATCACATTGTTGAATTTTCACAAGATCAGCATGGTTCAAGGTACAAATTTGAAAAGTATTTGTAAACCTAAAAAGTAGATACTTTCTAACATTTTTCTGCATGTAAAATCTGTAGATTTATTCAGCAGAAGCTAGAAAGTGCAACAGCTCCAGAGAAACAACTTGTTTTTAATGAAATTTTAAATGCAGCTTACAATCTAATGACTGATGTTTTTGGAAACTACGTCATTCAGAAGTTCTTCGAATTTGGTACAACAGAACAGAAACAGTCACTTGCAGAAAAAGTTAAAGGAAATGTTTTACCTTTAGCTTTGCAGATGTATGGCTGTCGTGTAATTCAAAAAGCATTAGAATCTGTTTCACCTGAACAACAGGTAAGTTATTTTACTCACATTTTTGAAAAAATGGTGTGTGTATTCAAAAACAATGAGACTTAACTTCTTAATGTGTGAAGGAACATTCATTGTAAGTGATATTTACATGTTAATACCAGTATTTTGTATTAGTAAATAAATAACACATACAATAAATGCTCCTTCACACTTTGTTGTTTGCATATCATTCTCTCCATTGATAAAATAACTTTTAACATACATTTCACAAGTATTGAATAGCAATTGTTACAAGTAATTGTTTCTGAATAAATTACAAAAATGAAATATGAAACAGATTTATGTGATCAAATTGAATACTTACAATAAATTGGGAGAATGAATTAATTAGATGAGAATTTTTTATAATAATGAAAATGAAAAGAGTATGTAATTATTAATAGAGAAAAAAAATCTGAAGGACTGATTAAACTTTATTTTCAGACGGAAATAGTAAAAGAATTAGATGGTCATGTTCTGAAATGTGTAAAAGATCAAAATGGTAATCATGTTGTTCAGAAGTGCATTGAATGCGTTGATCCATTGGCTTTACAGTTTATAATTAATGCATTTAGAGGACAGGTAATTTATTTTTTACTTTATCTATGTATAAGTTTTGATTGTTAAATATTTCCATTTTACAAATTATTGATTGGAAACGTTTAGTTAACAAATTTTTTATTATAACCCATGATTATGTATGGCAGCATTGATTTTCTGCAACAACTAGTTTTTTATAGACACTTTTCATCAAATTGACTTACTTAGCTTTGCTTCCATATCATCTCATACTGTGTTCTATTTTTATAGGCCCTCACAAAAGGCCTGCATTTTATTATTGCAGGCCCTCAGAAAACTGGTACAAAAAACACCTCATTATACATGTAATTACAACTTTTTTTATTGTCACATGAACCATGGTTCGGTGATTTTTCTGCCCAGATATCATTTTTTGCGACTTGGCATCATGGATGTTTGTTGGCTATGCATGGCATAATGATGCGGCAATCTGCAACTTGCTATGACCTTAAATACTTGTTTTTGTATGATAATCTGGGATAATATGATCATTTTCTGGCCCTTCTGAGAAACCCCTCAGCCATCATTATTTCTAGCTGAACTCACTTCACATTAGCCCACACTTTTGCAAAGTTTGAAAGCTTCCTACAGGAGTCCAGCTAATGATATTGTTCTGTTAAGTAAACAATGTATGACATTGAAATTTTGGTTATGCAGAGAAAACAAATTACAGGATTTTTCAGTCATCAAATTCAGAGAATGGTAATTATGCATGAAAAATCAACAGAAAGTCACTGCATTGCATACATTTGTGTGTTTAAAAACTGTATAAGATCACACGTGAAATTGATTTAATTACTATGAATTTTTGATGGAGTGTGATATAATAATAATAATAATTATTATTATGTTGGGTTTAGTAGGTAATACTCGGTTTAAACCGGTGGCTGTGTACTATGCCGGACCAGAGTCAAGGCATAGCAACCAAAACAAAACTAAAATTAAATGTGTGTGTCAGTGTCTGTATTAAGGAATTTCCTAACAATATGGCATGTATTCAATATAGCGGCCTTCTGTAGTGTGATGTATGTATTTCTACTCAATTGTAATGTTCCCAGGCTTTTGTGTAGCATGTGTGGTATCACACCTGTACAGGAGAGAACAACAG